CGGGAGGGCGATGCCCGAGTGTGGCCAGAGCCTAACAAACAGAGGGAGAACAGGCCCCAGGGGACACGGATGCCAGAGGCTGCAAACGCAGACGCCAGCACGTAGCAGAGCCCCTTGCTCACACAAGCAGGCTGTAAATCAACAGCAGCAGGATTTTGTCTAGAGCCTTTATCACCCCCAAACACCAAAACATCATCAACAAAGAGAAGGCTTAAATAGCCTGGATATTGTTAAGAGCCCAGGGCACAAAACAAGTCCAACACGGGTGTCTCTTACAGATAACTGCTGTTCAGCAGTATGGTACGAGTGCTCACTCTGCCTTTTCAGCCTGGTAACTCTCACACACACCTCATGCTCTCCCAGCAGCAAGGACATTTGTTCTGCCAAGCAGCAAAAGAGGTATTACAGAGAATGAGAAAGGAGTTATCGAGCACCCGTATTTTGAACATTCTCCAGCCTACTGCTCCTTGCAGAGACAAGCATGAAAAACGAAGGCCTAAGGAATTGTTTTTCAAAAAGTTCAATAAGAATAAAAAGTCCTAAGGAAACAGTCCCTAAGCAAAGATCTGAGTCTCCATGTCACTGTATGTACTTGAAAGAATATTTCTGTGGAAAGGCAGATTTGGATATGCCAGAAGGAAAAGACTGGAGTGAAAAATCATATTGTCCACAACTGGCAAAGATAACTACAGGTTTCAATTAGCCAGCTGAAATTAATTCCAATTCATAGTGACAATGAAACGCTGAGGCAGCAATAGAAGTAAACTTGCCTCTTCTATATGCATGTTACTAGCAGTTACCTATTGCTGGAATTAGAGGTTCCCATGGTCTTGTTAAAATACCTGGATACATTTATTCACAGGTGTAGGATTAGCATGCTCAAATAAGCTCCAGCAGGGCAGACAATCCTTTAAAACTTCTAGTAACAAATAAAAGTGACAGTATCATCTAAAGAAAAGAGCACCCACCAACAAGCCTCCCTGAAGGCCACATTGCACGAGGCAGCCATAGCATGGCCTCAAATACACCCACTCACAAATAGTGGTGCACAGAGTTACATCTAAGAACCTGGTCTGGGCGTATTTACAGGTCTCTCTCAGAAGGGCACGGAAGTCAGATGCATGACTCTGCCATTTTGAACTTGTCTTTTCAAACAACAACAGACAGAATTTTCAGAAATCCAACTTCTTTCCAAGTTAATATAAGCTTTCCTCTGAGCCCAGACTGAAGGCTCCCCCACTACACAATGCCCACTTCGATCTGACCAAATCTTCAGCAAAGAGGCTCCGTAAGACGTGTTGTGGAGGTGAACAACCGCAAAGCACATGACCACCAGCAGCGAGCCCGCCTGCTTACAGCTCCCACTGCTGTTTCGGGCAAGCTGTCCCAGCAGTAGCCAAAAACTGCATGGAGGTGAGAGGCCTTCTGCAAGCACAGAGCAAGACTGGCTGAGGTGCGCAGCCCCCTTTACTTGTGCTACTGTGAGCAGCAGCTCCCTCCAGCAGCACCCAATTCCTGAGGTGACCTGCCAGGGCTCCCACCACCCGGGAGGGCCCAGGAAGCACCAGAGCAGGGGATCTGAGCCCCCAAGAGCCTCCTGCGTAGAACGCAGGGCAGCACCAGCGTATTTTATGGGCAGGGACCACCAGCGAGCACGAGCAGCAGCAAGGGCAGCCCCCTGGCCAGTGCAGCGGACACGGTGGGGACCCTGCAGGTGCCCATGTGGCCAGGCCAGCCCTGGGCACAGACGCCCTGGGAGCACCGAGGGAGCCAGGCAGCCGCCCCACCACAGCTGCTCGCTGAGGGCACCCCTGTTCCTGCCGCAGCACGGGGAACCTGTCCTGCTTTCAGGCCCAAGGTGACGCACAAAGGCAGTGCCAGGGCAGGAAACAGCAGCCACAGCGCTGCTGCTCCTCACCGAAGTCTGATAACTGCTTCCATCACAAACCACCTTTCTTCAGTTGGAAACCCCCACCAGTGCTTCCATAAACTCTGAGTATTTACCGTCGTCTCTTGCTAGCTGGTCCCTGACCCAAGCTGAAATGGTATCTCACACACCTACATCAAAATCTGTTCAGAGGAGGACTGGCACTCAAAGCTTGTCACCAACAGATACTGACAAAGAATGAAGAGGACATCCAGGGAAACCAATGGAACATGCAGGGATTTTACACTTCCTGAACCGAAACTCCATCGTGCTGGCCAGTGCTGCCCCAGCTTTGGCAACTTTTCCTTCCTGCAGTGCTGAACAGCACTTGTCAGCTGCAAGGCAATCACGAGACTTCGAGGACGGATTATTAAAAGCCATTACAGTATTTTTATTAAGTCATTTTTAATCATTTTATTTCTGACATAGAAAAACAGCGACATTTACCTCCCACTACAGAGCCACAGGCAGTTAGGCAGGTATGTTAGCTATAAACAAAAATATTTACTATTACTCCACTTAGCCTTGCACGGTAATAGTTAGTCACTCTACAGCAGTGAGGGGTTGGTCATTAAGTTGCAATATGAGCCTAAAACAATAATTACCAGGTTAAATTATTTTAATCCTGAATGTGAAACTTAAGAAAACCAAATTTTATATCACCCATGAAGGCACACAGAGATATTCATTAACAACACTCCTCAAACACAGATATCCTTAGCCTGTACTCAAAGAGGGAGACATCTTGGAGTTGCCTTCCGAGATTAAAAGTACATGAGCAGAGACTCTATATATTTTTTATTTCTATATATAGTTTACATAATTTTATATATTTATATATATATATGTATATACACACATACACATATCCTGTAGGGCGATATATACATTTCTATAGTTAACTGTGCTATACATTCTTAAGATAGCATGAACTTTGAAAATACACATCCTTTAAACATGTTCATTTGCTGAATTCACTTTCTTCCCTGTACCCAGGGAGTTACATCACGCCTTTCCTCCCCACTGTGTTATCTCTTTTCCTCCTCTCCAGTCACTCTCCAACACGTAACTTTATCAATTATGATAAATTCATCTTTAAATATAACTGAAAAGGAGCAGAGGAAGAATTTGGTACTCACTTAAGTTATAACTGTTATGCAGAAGCAACCCATGTAGGGCCACTGGGCCAATGCTAAAAAAAGGACACAGCCAGAAATAATAGGCAATTCTGAAACAGATCTCACAACTTCTGACTTGGAGCACCCCACAGTGATGCATACAGCAAGGGTAGAAGCAGCTGGGCTAGAATTTCAGTTATTTATTTGCGCAACCAGTCAGATATACTCAGCTTCCGAAGAGTTTTAGAGCATGAAGGGGAAGAAAACATAAAACACACACCACATAGCCAGTTTCAAATCCATTAAAGACTGTAAGATCCTACAGCTGCCTCCACAGCAGGGCATGCCTGAAAAGTGGCGCTCGGTACAAGGGAACCGGCCTCACTGCAGCGCAGCAATTCTGCAGCCATGAACCTCACGCTTCCATTCTGGCACCACGGGAAGCTGCTCCTCACCATGAATTACTCAAACTTTCCTACTTTGAAACAAAATCTCATCACATTGCTTTATTTTATCAGCTCGTTTCATACATCCTTGCTGAGCCACCCCACATCTACTCACTGCTTCCCCATTTTGGAGACCTGAAGCATATAAGGGACAGCCGAGTTCACTCGCTGGCACTATAGAACACGATAGTTCCTCCACTCAACCTACCACTGAGCCCTGCTACTGTTGTTTGGGTGTCTTGATTGCACAGACCATAAGTTTAAATCTGTAGGTACCAGACAACCAATTTTGTGACTGTCCTTCAGAGATAACCTTGACAGCCTCTAAAGCAGTGCAATTCTCACTCTATTAGAGTACAGCCCTACACAGAGGTGGGAGCAACCTTCTCTCACCATTCAGCAGCTCACCTGGGAGCTGCTCATCACAATTCTCGAGACCCCTGACCCCTGCATTTATCAAACACAACCATCACCATTTAGCAGCACTGTCCTTTCTCTGATCCCAAATAACCCATTTCCTAGACTCAATCTGATCTCTACTCTACAGACTATCAGGAATAACTCACTCAGGAACACACTTGCAGTTACAGTAACAAACAAACAAGCAAAGCCCCCCATGTCTTTTACAAGGAGCTAGCAGGACTCTCCCAATGCAGAACAGCCCGTCTGGCCATTTTATTTCTTTACAAAACCTAGTTCCCTCCCAAGAGAACAGGAAACCATCTGAAACAGAAGCTGCAACAACCCTGCAAAATCCCAGCTGGTAGAAAACACCTGCTTGCCTACGCGCACACATTCATATCACTCAGGAACACACTTGCAGTTACAGTAACAAACAAACAAGCAAAGCCCCCCATGTCTTTTACAAGGAGCTAGCAGGACTCTCCCAATGCAGAACAGCCCGTCTGGCCATTTTATTTCTTTACAAAACCTAGTTCCCTCCCAAGAGAACAGGAAACCACCTGAAACAGAAGCTGCAACAACACTGCAAAAGCCCAGCTGGTGGAAAACACCTGCTTGCCTAGGCACACACATTCATATTGTGGATGCGCTCCAGCAACGCGAGAGCTTCTGCTGCTGTCCAGGTGCCTGTGTCTTTGGTAAGAAAAACAAGATCCCAAACCCAATTTAGGCACTAATGTAGGTCAAAATGGCTTCATCAGTGTTTATCTACTACTTTTCTGACAGAACTTCTACCCTTCATCAGAGAAACACCGAGGAACTATCATGGGAAATAAGGCAGATGGTGACAAGACAGCAAAGCTGACAATGAGATCTCCAAAGGCAGACAGGCAGAAGCTCTTTAAAGATTAAGACAGATTTTTTCAGCCTTCTTTTCCTAAAAATAATCTGTGCCGATGTACGTTTCTAAAAAATAATAATAAAAGCTAGTAGCAGAGACTAAGAAATCCACTTATAGGCGAATACATAAACAGTGCTAAAAAATAACTTTGTTTTGGCAGCTGCCTGGTAGTCCTCCCTGGCAGCTGCTGCGCTGCAGTGGCAGCGTTCAGCGCCTCTCACATTTCTCTTAAGGTTGCGGTGAAGTGTCGCTTCCCATCTAAATACAACATGGACTCTGAAAGAAGGCAAAGAAGAGAGGTGATGTACTATCAACCTCGTAGCAATAATGGGCAGCTACACAGAGCAGCAGTATTAAAGAGCAATCCAAAGCGCACTTGTCATCAAAGCATACAAAACATGCACTTTGCCATGAAATGCTGTTAAATTATTCAAATATCAACAGATCATCTATTAAAATGAACACTTTCATTATGAAAATTAAAGTCTTTTTTTTTTTCCATAGAGTTAAAACTATAATTCATTAGTTGGATATACTTGCCTCCATATGTTTTGGGGACAACCCGTGGGACCGCTTTTTCTGATATAAATGTAAAATGGAAGATATTAGTTGTATGATGTTCTCTGGTATCTGCATCAAGAACCTCACTGTGTACTCGAACCTGGATATAGTTTTTTTCCGTATAACAAACCTATAGGATTGCGATAGGACATAAAATTAGTAATTCACCATCGACACCGAAAAACTGAAACAGGCTTTGTTTTACTGCTGAACAGGAAAAGCCAGATTCTCTCATAGTGCACTGTTCATTATTGGTGATTAAGAGGAATAATATGACGAGTAAGTTTTTCTTTTTCTTCAAAAATAAATCAACTCCTACCTGTGCAGAAAGCAGTAGCAAGGATCCAACTTCAACTGGTCTCCGAAACATGATATCATCAACAGCTACAATGAAAGGTCTGGAACCCCTGAGCAAGAAAAAGAAAAATTTGCTCTCAAGAAAAACTAGGGTGCTTGGATAAACTGAAGCTATTTCACTGCCCTCCTTTTAATGAGGGATTTTAGAAAGTAAGTCTCCATCAAGTACAGGCCACAGGAATTGCTGAAGAATTATACCATTTCCCTAGACAAAAATACCTGGAGGAAACTCCTCTTCTATGCATACAAGTACATGCTCCTTTAGGAGACACTACAGCATTGCTAACTGTCTTGTCTCATCTTTCTAGTAGGCTATTCACATACTCACCGCTAAATCACACACAGATCTCTGCTGGATAATGACCTCAGTCACATTTTCTAAGAACAAGCACTTTTTATAAGCTCAGAGTCCATTACTCTTGTGTATATAATGAAAAAATGCAGTATCTGTTAGACTTCTAGAAATGTGTTTCCTTTAGAGACATAAAAATAAACATTCTATCTCAGTAGCTTGGAAAGACAAAACAAAAAGGATGTATTTCATGTCTTTATATGTGATGTTTAAAAAGCTCAAATGAAGCAGATACAAGTGTCTCAGTTAAAAGTGAGAGGTACGCACTCTAAGCAAAGTATTGCTGTGCCCTGCCACATTCAGTCAAACATTTAGGTCCCTTCTATTCAGACTTACATTGGTTAGCTTGGTTTTCCGACCTATGAATGCATGCACCATCTTCTGGATCACACAAATACTGCAAGTCTGCATGGCAACTCACCCACAGCTGCAGGCAGTTGCCCATCCCAGTTCAAAGGCCTTCCTCATGAGAAAACCCCCAAAGATCCTGTTGAAGATGTTCCTTTCCTGTATGTAGAAACACCACCCAACACACTGTTAAAAAACCTACATTCTTCCCCAAATATTGTGTTGAATTCAGCCTATTAGTCTGCATTTTTTTCACAGGACTTAGCGGAACACCCAGCATCTGAATATACAGAGTGCTACTGAAAAAGATATACAGACGTCCAAATGGATGAAGCAAATTCATGGATTCATTTGACAAGGTAGGATCAAAACTCAAAAACATGTCATCAACCATACGGGTTGGGTGTAAAGGCAGGTATTTCTTTATAGAAAATGAGCATCCTAATAATAAAATAAACCAGTGAAAAATCTTCTATTTTTCAGTGTTAATCCATACAAATAAGAAAATGACAACAGAAACTCAGGTCTAAATAGGTAAGGAGGACAGAAGAACCTAAGCAAAATAAAGGATTCACTAATCTTAAAAGACAATTCTTAATAACTGTTTTTTTTAATTCATTAATATACTTCAATATAATATACCTGAGGGTGGCAAATTTGTAGGCCCTTCAGCTTTGCATCTTCCATCCACACTGAATTGGGTGGTAATATACGACTCCGGAAACTTACTGTCCTAGAGAAGAGGCAATAAACTTAATAGCCTATATTAGCAGAATTCATCTAGTCAAAAATGTACAGGAAAAGTGGGCACTAAAACAAATAAAAATGCTACCACTGAAAGCTATTCCAACAGATCTTGAAGCCTCACCTAAACAGGTATTCAGATTTGTTAGTCTAAACATACAGCCCTGCACTCCTGATCTCTCAAATATTTCTACTAATACTCAAGCTTATGTGAGCAGTCTCAGCTTAGGAAAGGTGCATGAAAGAAGAGATGAACTACATCCAAAAAGCACATGCTCACTTCTCCAGAAGAGACCTTGCACTGTTTATCAGTCATAATACGAGTTAAAAGCACACAATAAGCTAACAGAGTAACTCGGCATCAGAGTGCCAGATGGTTTGAAGTTTTCAGACCCAGGCAGAGAGTAAACAAAATACATTTGCCAATTCTAATGGAAGAAGTGTAATACTTTGGTAAACAGCTATGAAATATCAACTACATAATGTTAGTAAGTTAAAGAAGTTCTTAGTTATCCACACTAATGTTATTAGGCATTGCTCTGCCACCACTGACACTGGAAGATTTCACAGAAATTTCAGCTGGTGAAGTATGTCAACACTGGTTTTCCTCAGCAAATGTTTGTAGGTGTTATACTCAAAACACATGGCAAGGTTACCTGGTCAAAACATGAGCCTCACAGTATTTTTTTTTCTAGATAGCATGGCAGAAAACCCTTACATGATTTTAATATTTAATATTCAAATGTTAATATGACTCTGCAAAAGTTTCATTCCCTGCTCAGTTAAACACAATTAACCTTCTCTCTGAAGACTATTCCAAACAGCTTGTGCAGAAGCTCGTTGTGCTCACAGGTCACTTTTATCATCCTTGGACATCTAACACTCTCAGATGTCAGAAGATACTTTTGAGAGACATAAACATCACACTAAGCTGTGTATCTGCACTTCAAGCAGAGCAGCCAAGAATTTAAATGCTGAAGTGGGAAAACCAAGTGTCTCCATATCTTCTGCTTAGCTCTGCGGCTCAAAAGGCGAGCTACTTTTCCCTCTCACAAGACTTCAGACCTCCGTCACCCCTCTCTTTCTTGCCTCGTGTCCAGGGTGTTAAGGAATATGTCATGAACAACATTTCTTTCTTCTGCAGTGGGAGCCATTTTCAGTAAGGAAGCAGTGCTGAAATCAATCCTCTTCGTCTTGTTAACTAAACATTATTCAAAAAACAAACAAACAAACAAACTAGTCACAGTTCAAAGCCAAAAAAAATCATTTTGCTCTCAGGATTTTAACCTAGAACCGTCTGTCTCTTTCCTTATTTTCCCTGAAGTTAAGGGGTAAGATTCACAGTCTCGCAGCTAATCTTGAGACTTGGACTCAAACAGGAATTTGATTCTAGAATATCAATGAAAAAATAAGGCAGAAACCCACCATTTCTCCTCAATGTAGGTAATGCTGATGACCCCTTATACATACACGGTGATATCCATCCACCCCTCCAACAGAGTAACTTGCATACCCCTCAAAGTACGCCAAAAGTGCCTTTGCCTGTCAGTTTAGCCAAAAAGTTTCCAAGAATGTGGTATATCAAGCTTTTAAACTCTCTTTCATCTCTACCCACGTTGACACATGAGACACAACAAAAAGTCTGTTTTTAAATAAATTACGAGCATCTATTAGTAGCATAACTTCTGAAGTCTACTTTCCAGCTAATAAATTAAAATACTGTCATGAAATAACATACATTCCCCTTGCTTGAAGATTTCCTCTTCCTCAGGGGTCTCAGGAATTAGTGGATTAACAAATGCTGGCCTATGGATAGAAATGCTTTTAAGTTAAAATCTTTACAAGAATTGTCCTATAAATACTGCATTATAACATTTTCGGTTACATACACATTACAGGTATCTTAGATACAGGTATCTTATTTCAGGTATCTTAGAAATAAATTTCATTTCATATTGTGGCTGCTACCAAATGAGTATCATATCGGCTAATTCTGAAGAGTGAGGTAAGAGAGCAACCACTATCTAGTATCATTAAGAAACAGTAACCACTGTGTATGTGCTTCTTAAAGAGACCAAAATGTACCTATGAGTTACATTGAACATCACTCAAGCAGAAAGCTATTTAGAAACATGGCAAATGAAGATGCAATGATCTAGAACAGACCAAAATAGATATACAAAACTTGAATGGCAAAATAAAATTCCTTCGGGAACAGAAAGAGCACAGTGCTTTCGGTAGCAAGTATTCTTATAATCTTTACGCTCCCATGACAGCCTTATCAACAGCCAAAAGCCGTTTACCACATGTCACAACACTTTATCAAAGAGAATGATATGAAGCTGGCTGGAGTACCAATTCACATGTTTATATTGCTCCACAAATGAATCTACTCTAGTATAATTATACAAGATTTGGGTTTTTTCTCTTCACAAGGCAAGGCAACTGCTTATTTTCATGCACCATTCTTCCCGACACTTTCCACACACTATTTCTGTATCTTAGCAGTCTGCATCCGGCCCTTCACCCTTATTCAGGACACTGACAAAAAGTTATCATCACTTGGATTGCTGTATTAGTCAGACTGCTAGCATAATCATATCAATTTGATTTTTTTTTTTTCAAAACAAGTGTGCTTCCTAATAAATGGGTATAAGAAAAATGGATTTCTTTTAAAGTATATTGTGAATGAATATGTTACCGGGACCTAAAAATACTGCATAAGCCTGACAGAAACCATACTAACAACTACTTCTATTACTATCAGGAGAAAATAATTATGTTAGGCAAAAATCCCTTCATTAAACACACGCTTCTTCATTAAATACAAACAATTATTTAAACTAGTTAGAAACAGAAGGTGGCTTATGGCTTTTTGCAAGCTATTTGCATGGAGGTATGCTGATTTTTAATAGTGCTAGAGTCATGCAAACCAAAACTGTAACTAAGCAGTTTGTTCATTAGGCCAGTCACTCAAGCACAGGGATAAATCTAGTAAAGAAAAGGGTCAAATCCCAAGATTAGCAGCAGTTCTTTGTGTCATTTAACTGCTGAATGCAGTGCTCTGAAGCTTGCCCCAGAAAAATAAAAAAGAAATTAGAGGGACATTTGGCCAAGGGAAAACATTGAATGTGTTATTTATTCATCTGTAACTGATGCTATGAAATTTCTACACACACATAGTAAGCTACCACTTCATCTATTTTCCCTGTGGCAGGAGTCTGAAGAATACCCCTCTCTCCTACAAATTACCATTTGTTTTCTGGATCCCGGGCCACCATGACAAAGGTTGCATCTAACACAGGGCTGTAATCACCATTATGTAGCTAAAAGAGACAAGAAACAATTATATTTTTACACTCTAAAATTGTACTCGTGCTTAGCAAACTATTCAGTGGACATCAACCATGCAATCACACTGTAAGCCTAAAACAAAAGAATGCTGATTGATTACTAGTTTCAGTTAGAAAAATCATCATATTAATTCTAAAATGGCTGATTTGTCCTTTATTCTGAGAAGTGCAACAACTATTTGTTGCTAACAACCAATTGCCAGTGCTGGGAGTTTAGACAACAAAGGTGTAACCTTATCTGCTGCATTAGAAACTTCACTCCAGGAGACGCGCTGCATCATTAAATATTTATCTGAGCGCTTATCTGAATCGCAGCCAGTTAATATTTAAGTAATTAAGTATACTTACTTAAGTAAGCATATATAAAGTAATATGGACTTGTAAAGTACAAGCAATTTAACATTTACACTCTATTTGAATTACCCTAAATAAACATGAAAATTAGCAACACAGGATCTTGTTGATTCTAGACCATCAGCACTCACCTTGGTCTTGAAACACATACAGCTGTTTCAAGCCTTTCAAGACAGGTCTCCTAAAAAATATAGTTTAGGCTGCTAGCACCATCATTCAGAATCCTTTCTGAAGCACCTCAGAGTATACAGCGTGACTGGATGCTTGGAGATGGAGAGAAGTCACAGGAACTAACCTGCAGCATGTGCATCTTCACTTCCATTGAGGTCCTCCCAACCCAGGAAACGTTGCCAGTGAACTTGATGTCACAGTCCGGATATATGATCTTTTTGCACAAATCTGTAAGACAAACATTAGAGGTTATTGGGCATAGATAATCCGGTCTTTCTATATTAGATGTGTAAGGCTTGTTTTCTGTGACAACAAACACAAGGCAACCCAGAAAAAAAAGGCAGTCATTGCAAGGGACCATAGTCTAGTCCCAGGGGAGGAAGTAGGCCCATTGGTGGCAGATGGATGGCAGATGCTCAGAGATGCTCAGCTGAACATGTGCCATAAGAAAGGCCTAATTCTATCACAAGAAACACTGCTCAGTAACAAAGAGATTCACTTGCTAATACAACACTGAAAGGGTAACATCTCATCTCTCGAAAGGTCAGGAAACCTGAAATACTAGGAAGTATCTACAAAGCCCTCTTCCCTCTTCGCCCCCTTCCAAAAGGGGCCAGAGTAGCGATAAATGATAAACCATATAAAGTGTTCACTTGTGTAAAGAGGAAAAGAAAGAAGAAATCCTTAGTAAGAACCATGGAGGAGCAATAGCTGCAGAAAGACCGGGGACTCAGTCCAAGAGATGAAACCATTTCTGCTCATCAAAATGCCACTTACTGATTTTATCCACCAGGGCTGTAACTATTGATAAAGGAGATCTGGGCTGCGCTTCCTGCTTCGTGTGAGTGTAGCAAATGAGAACTGTGGAGAGACGGAAAACAGAGCCAGCTTTCAGTTCTCCTGCATTTTATCAAAATGTTAGTAAAGTGTTATCAAAGCCATCCCCAGGAACGTGTGCACAACACAAACTCAAACAACAGCCTACAGGGGTCCAGATGAACTAGACATTTCCATGTAATTCATGCGATTGCCATAAAGAAAAATGTGATTCAGCGGCTATCTAGGCTATATGCCTATTTACTTACTACGAAGGGAAACTGCACTTAGTACCTAACCTCAACTAACTGCTCCTCTCCTGCCTATCCCATATAGTCTCTTCCCTTTATCTCCATTTGTTTCGGATCCTTCATTCCCCTCCAGCCTCCTACTCTATGAAGGTTGGCCAAGGATACATGTTACCTGATGACTTATTTTCAAATACTGAATCCTTTAAAAAAGTGCGGATTAGATAAGATGTGATTTATCAGCATGAAAGCATAGTCAGGTATTTATTACGCTATACTAGCCAAACCATTATTTAAATTAATTAGGTCTGCTCACAAAAGTACATCCAAGTAAACAAATGCCTTAGAGTCCTTAAAGTTTTGGGTTGTTTTTAAAGTGAAAAATCATTTAATTTGAAATAGCTCTCTATACAATTTTCTCCGACATAGAACTCAATACAAACTCACGGTCTAGGCACACTCCTCTATAAAATATTCTTGTAGCTGGTCCTTTACAAAACTGGACTTTATAGCTTTAACTTTATAGCTGAAGAGCCATTTTGCAGCAGCTTATTTTTTATCACCTTTTCTTTTCTTTCAGCACCAGTATCTCCCTCACACCCCCTGCTTACACGTAGCACTTTGATGGGATCCTCTCTCTGAAAATACATGGTACCATCCCAAACACTACTGAAATTGCCTGCATTATTCATGCATGCATTTCAAGAGACAGATACTTACCTCCTAAACTGTCAAGGTCTTCAAGAATTCTTCCAAATCTGTAAGATATGTTTTTCATCAATGAAATGCCTACATTGATATTACATGAAATTTAACACTTTTCTGTACACGTAACATACTTGCTTTGTTACCTGACACTATTGTATACGTTCAGGTACTTCTCCCTTATTTCAGGTTGACTTCCTAGAGGTAGGATAACTTCCAAGTAGCTATCTTTCATTCTCCTAGGAGGCAGATCCTCCTGCCGTTTTGCCAGTAAAGTATGAAGAGCTTTTCTTTCTTGCATTGCTTGCACATGGTCCCTAATAAGGGAAGAAAAACACCATTTATGATAGATTTTCAGTTTTGTTGTCCTATCTAAAAGATGCCACAGTGAAGATGACTACAATGAAACAAAGACAAAAATAGCAAGACACAGCAATTGCGCCTTGAAAAGAAAGCACACAATGAATGAGCTTTGTCATGCAAGACTACTGTAGAGAAGTTTTAATAAAATAGTTTTATTGTATGAGTGTTAAGCACATACTTCACGCTAATGAGACGGACAAAATTTATCCAATCCTGAATGATAGCAAAATGTTTTCCCTTGAAAACAAAATAGTTTAAAAAACTTTAATCACATACAATTTAACCTACAGGTTTCTGTATACAATCATGTCTTCTGTAGCTTCTATACCCCAGATCCTCTTGCCAGTTTTACAGGCTTGACTCCCAGCTTGCAATCCCTCCCAAGCAAACAAAGCAGACACACACTGCTGGCTGGTACCGGCCAAAGCAATATCTCATGTGCTAAGACTTGCTGTCACCTGCACAGGACATTCCTCTTTACAGCATCAGTTCATACAGTGTACAATTGACCAGCAAGCTAAAATAAAGGGGAAATGAACTTACCTATTCCCCTCTTTTTCTGCCCAGTCTCTTACTACTAAGGAGTCACGGAAAGTAAACATACAGCAAAGGGGACTCTACCTTTTAGAGGGTGCTTTTCCAGCACCAGCAAGTCCAGAGGGGTTGCAGCTTGAACAAGGGAGAGAGGGCCAACTTATCCTCACTTCTTCCCAGTCAGCCAGCTTGGCTTCCTGCACAGGTATCTATGCCATGTAACAACCCTGTCGACTCTTCCTTTAAACTCCCCTCCCTTAGAAGTGCAACCTGACTGAAAACAGCAAATATTTGCTAACACGCCTGGAATCAACAACAAAGCATTAATAACCCGAGGGTTAGATGTGCAGGAGTTGAGGTATAAAGCAAGAGAGCACACAAGGGGATTAACCAAATTCACAGAGCAAGTGAATTAAGCACTACGTAAGGAAACTTAAACTTGTAGTGGACGTGTACCATCCGCTCAGAAGAGTGGGCTGTGCTACTGTGATTTGCGTGCCACTGCTCAACAGAGCCACTTAAAAAGCGATCTACAGGAAGATAACAAGAAAGAAACTTTTCACCAAAAATAAAATTTATCTTAAAGTTTTCATTTTGAATGCATTCTGGATGTGAGCTGTATTTTAAGACAATGACTTTTTTGGCTTGAGTTTTATTTCGGCAGAGGAGAGGTACAAAGGAGTCATGCTTCCACATATTTATACTCCCTCTTTTCTGTTGAATAAATTTGGGCAGAATGTGAATAATCCATAACCAAAGAACACAGAGGTTTAGCAGAAATGTTCACGAGTACTTTATTATTTAAAACAAATCATCTGAGCAACATGAATACAAAATATTGGAAAGCTCAGACAAGACGAAATGAGAGCTCCCTACACCAGAGGCATTTTTTTTGAAGATAAGACACTGGGTAGGCATGGAATCAACGCCTCTACGCACTTTCTCAATTTTTAAGCTCTTTCGGTGAAAGGTTCAGGAGAAATTAGTCAGAGATCAAATCCAAATTTTGTCTAAACACATTTAAAAAAAATAAAGAGATAAAAATCAAACTAGATTCTGTTTTCACCAGTCCATTCCTGGCTCCTCTGAGGTCAACCGCAGAGCTCTTCTTCACTTCGGCATCATAATGCACTCTTCAACACACAGACACATTGTGCTCAAGGCAATTATATTTTTCAATAAATAAATGCTTTTCAACACTTCCCCTAGGCATTCACCTAATAACTGCTCGAGGTATTTGAGAAATTAGATTATTTGTTTCTGAAATGGCCAAAACCCTTCTTAGTCTATGATGAGGTCTAGTATAAATCACCCTATGAATCAATCATCAAACTGGACTTGCAATAAAAATTTACAGGTCTTCTTATACACACTTCTGTGGGTGTTACTCCTAATGATTTCAACACAGGCCAAACTACTCCATAACCTAGATCCAACAGCTTTATTTAGAAATACCTCATATCCACAGCAAGACTCACTGCACCGTATCAGTAAAGGGGAATGGATTCATTCTTAACTATGCAAGTACAGAAACAAAGAATGATTTTGCTTCTGCATTCTCTTTAGTGAAAAATGTCACTAGCCCTTATTGGAGAAATGACAACCCAAAGTTTCATTTTAGCAAACTTAATGGTCCATGCTGTTCCTCTAACCTGCACCTTTCCTACTCTCACAATAGTCCACATGTTTGTGCATTGGACCTCACAGCCAACTTCTAGTTCCTACTTCAGACCCCTATCAAGCTGTTCTCTTGAGCCCTCAGTCATCATGTGGTCCAAGGTCATTAAGGCACTACCTGCTCTCTCTACACATTGCAATTCTTTGTCACGGTGACCTACAAGTGGAATCTCAAGATCCACCTGACCAGTGTCTTCCAAACTTCCCCACAGATTAAGAGTGTCATCCTCGAACCTGTCCAGCCATGGGCTCCCCAGCTTCACTTCTCCAGGGTAGTTAAAGCATAGAGTGCTCTGCAAACTACCTCCAACACAATTATTCTGCATTTTATATAGTACTATATATACATACGTATATATATATAAATATAAGGAAAACACATCCCTTATGTGTTGGAGATACAACTACTTACTACATTCACTCTATTTTTATATATATATATATGTATATTATATATATATGTATATATGTGTGTACATATATTTATTTATATATCTATAAAAGGAAAACACTGCTCTGGTGACCCCAGCTTCAGTCTCCTCTGCTATTACAGTCAGGGCAGTGAGGGAGAAGAAACGGATAGAAAACTGCACTTGACTTGAGCCTTCTATGAGTTTCCTATCTTCAGATGGCATTTCCGTACAGCATTGCTCTTCCCCAGCCATTCCTGGCTGCAGGAAAGGCATTTTTTTTTAAATCAATTTTAGAGCGCTTGTCAACCGACCTATTGAAAATGTTAACCTCTCTTATAGACCTAGACCTAGTCAGAATGCCAGGGCACATTAAATACCTGCACACTTGGATTGAGTATCTCTCCCCACTTCCTATCAATGCACAAAATGGGAAATAACAGGTCAGCAAAGACATCATAAGAACATTAACAGTCGATAAAATAGCTATGGAACCAATCAATTTGCAATACGTAATTTCACCACACTGTTATACTGACTTACTCAGAACTGGTAACAGCCAGAAGACTACAATCAGCTCCAGCTTATGTAGCATAATGGAGGGGGAACAAAATAACCTAAATGGGTTACCTATGGGTAACCCAAAGTAACCAAAATGTGGACAATAGGAACTATATGTAAATTAAGCCACAAATAGGTTCCAATGAAAAAAAAAAAAAGTCCAAAATACTCCTGATTAGAGGGAGGCTAAAATTGTCAAGGCTGACAATTTTACACCATCACATGGGTGCTGCCAGGCCATGCATAACTCAGCTGCTTCATGAAGACTCAGTTCTGTTGCCTAGGAATCCAGTGCAGAATAATTCCACTACATGGACAACCCTCAACAGATAAAGCAGCCTAACGTTTTTGGTCAGGCTCTATGGCTCTTAAACTTTCATCATTTTAAAAGCTAATGCAAAAGAATCAAGAACATACATTTCCTTCCCTTGGCATTAAAGATTAACCTTCTGGTTGCAAAGTCACAGAAGTCTCTGGTACAGAAAGAATTCGAAAACCTTTGGTTTGCATCATTTTTTAGTACTGGCCAGATGCGTTATCTTTCCCCTCCGGTTAGCTAGTAAATGCTGTCATCACTACCACAACCCTGAGCTTCTCTGTGTATCACAAATACAGTAAAATATATTTAATGTACACTGTACCTCCAGTTGGTAGATGCTCCCACTATATCCCTCAATCTGCTTCGCACTGAAACAAACAAACAAAAAAAAAAAATCAAAGCAAATCAAGCTTAGTTCTGCAAGTGGTAAATGTGAGTACGCCTGGTGCAGAGAGACACAGTCCTCATCCCAGAACAAGAAAATTAAGCAGTCATGCAAATAGCGTCTTGAAAACAAAAGTTTGGCCAAATTAATTGATGTTGTTAGTAGGCATATCACAATAATGGGTTGAGTAACACAATTTTGTAGTGTACTGTGTGCAGCCAAGACCAACAAAGAATGCATTTAGAGTGTGCATTAATACGATCAAATGCCTGTGGTGCCAATTAACAACTGAAAAAAAAAAAAAAAACCAGCAGATCAAGATCAGATTGAGGAATTTTGATGTGAAAATATTTCAGGATAAACACAAACAAACTGTGGGAATAACACAGATCTAAAAGTCATAAAAGGAAGATAAGAGGGAACAGCGCAGCTGGGAGATAGGGGCTGCTGAAAGCACTTTTTAATTACTTCCACCCATGAAGCGCAGGTAAGGGCAGGAATCTGGCTCTTGCCTGCAAGGCATCATATGGTTTCAGGAAATAAGATCTTAGCAGTGTTAGGACAGACCTGTACAATTGCTTCCAGCACTGCCTTGCACTATCACAATTAATACGAGCCCTGCACAAGTTTTTTTTTTTTAGAAGCTATTATTCCGCTCTTTCCTCGGATGGGGCTATCAAGTGTACTCAGATCTAGTCAGGCCTATCCGACCACTCCATCTCTATTAGGCAGGTGAACATACGCCATTTACAAATGTCTGAAAGCAGGTAGCAAACAGTAACACAGTAAACAGTAAACGTCTGAAAACACATAGCAAAGACAGAAGAAAGTTTTGAATTGGATATCTTGCTTGCTTATGAAATTTTTTTTTATAGACAGGTCTCCAATATTAGGGCAAAGAAGTTTGGGACACATCAAGAAAGGACTGTCAAAAAAAAAAAATCACAGTGAAACAGAAAAAAAGGCTGCTAAGGACCCTTTCATGTTTTCATCAGCTGACCCCTTCTATGTTTAGATACACTCAGGCTTTGGCAACTCCAAACTAAACAGCGGCTCAGAGTACTCCCTGTAGCCAGCAAGCTCCTAATGAGCATTGCAGCTCGCCAACTCTGACCTCCTACAGACTAAGAACAGGCACCGTCCCCCATGCAGATCCTCTCTGCCCCCCAGCCCAGTCACTTCAGCCCAAGGATTGTCAATCCTATTTACTACTCCTGATCTCAACGCCAGGCATACAAGTAAACACTTGCATAAACTTCATTTTAACAATAAAATGTCTAAATGCAAAAGTATTTCTAAGATGTTGTCAAACTAAATCTAGTCTATTTTATAGACTCGTAAATACAAACTTCCCCTCCCCTCCAGAAAAACGATTCTACTTTTCTACATTTTCCTTATTTTAGAGCAGAAATTTAAGTAATTAAGCTCAATACATCATAAACTCTTTCTCTTTTCTTACAACTGGTAAATGTCTTAGATGTACAAAACAATTACAGAAAATGTGTTTTATCCATATCATGTTGCAGTATTTCACAGAACCTCCTAGAACACTAGTGCCACAATAACAGGGCCTGCACTTATCTGCTCTATCCTGTGCAATAACAGAGGACCTGAATGCAGCTAGACAAGCTAACTGCATCCTCCCATAAGATCCATACCACCTCAAGCTGGCACCTCCGCAGACAGGTTCAGGAAGACCACTAATATATATTTTACAGACTGTTTTTGTCCAGAGCTTGGTACAGACTTCAGTGAAAGTTGCAGATACCCACTGCTTCTGAATAGCAAGTCCTTTTATTCAGATTTCTACAGATAAGCTGAATACTGCAGGAGTTGGTATGTAAGAGATTTTGCATCCCACAAGCCTCTTAAGAATGTGTTATCCAGCATGCCATCAGGAATACGGAGTGCTGACTGAGATTTAGCATGGAACCTCTACAAATAAGATCAGACCATTCACTTGTCATGGCCAACAACTTTAATAAAGAGGCTTTAAGCAAGTTGACAGAGAAGAACATCAGATTTTCATGTTTCACGAGTGCTAAAATAAGGCAAGAGAGTAGCAAGGTAAGTTTGGTGCTATAGCAAATATTTAAATATATACATATTACCACAACACACCATTATTCACATGAATGGGTGAGTGTCCTGTGGAATAGAAAGTATAGGTTAGATTAACAAGACAACTGAAAAAGAAAAAAAGCAAATTATTTTTATTAAGGGGTAACCTATTAATCTGATCATTTTACTTACATAAATTCAGTTGAAGAACATGTACCTTAACTGTAAGGCAACTGTAAGGCAGGCAACTGTAAGCACCCTGTCGTTGCTCATTTCCAAGGTGGAGTCAGTATCTTTGTGACTTCAAATGTGATTTCAAGAGAATTAGACCCTTCTTTCACATCTGATCAAATTCATCTTTACTGCTCATCTGTCTAGTTGCCCTGTATAGTATCTTCCTCCTCTGTAATTCCAGTTAATTTCTCAAACACTGTGCTACCTTTTACTGTCTCTAACAAATACTACCCAATTCACATATTAATGACAAGATTTCTGAATCTAGAGCTGCAAACACTCAACAGCGAGTAATCCTAATACTTCAGACACCAATGGGAACATTAGGGTTGCTCTTTGAATAAAGAATAATTGGGAGCATTTTTCAGAAGTGGGACAAGAGTTATTTCAATGGAAATCACAGAAGTCCTGCATAGTGTGCCTTTGGGAGAACCATGGGAGAAGTAAATATTATGTCCACAGCTGGGACCCAAAGCCAGAAGGAATGGTGTGAAAAGCCAATTAACATTTGGTGTTTTGTGAAAATACACATAGCAAACGAAAGGAAGAAAAGCTTGTTTACATATCCTCAAAAGTTTGCATTGCATTCATTTTACAGTCTTGGAAGAAGCTGTCAAATATTTACAGTTATTATAGCCCATGAAATAGCAGTATTCTTCAGTAACAAACCAGAGTTAAGGCCAGTATGGCTTCATGACTGCAGTATTTTTGTTTTCTTTCCAGGTAATATCCTTATAGAACATCCAAATAAAATAGCTGGATAACATTTCTAAGTATGTAACATTTGGATAATATTTGTAATTATGTAACACTCTGTTTAGTTGTTTCTCTCCTTTAACTCCCAAATTACTATTTATTAATAATGATGAAAAAAATCTCTAGCTGCCAATAAGCCTCATTTTCTCTTTTATTGGATTACTTGGGGCTTCTATTTAGAGAACAAAAGGGAGAAGCTGACGTCAGAAACAAGCAGAACTTCATGAAGAAATTATCTGTATCTAATTTTGGCCCTTTTCCTCCACTCCTTTTCTCAGCACATAGGTGAAGAATGCCAGAAAACCTTTCAACAAGCTTTTGAAACAGGAATATTACGATTTATGATTATTAGAACATTAAAATAATATTTTGGCACAAAATACGGTTGACAAGCACATTTTGACATGGCAGCAATGCCAAACTAATCAAAACATTCTTCAATGTTTATGAAATAACATTGACACATTAAAATACTATACTTGTGTAAAGCTTTATTTGAACTCAGTTTCTCCATCTCTAGACCACTGTCTTCAGTCTTCCTACTACCTGCTTGAACTGTATTGACTTTCCATCCAGAGCCTCCTTAAGAATAAGTTTTTCCTCCAGAAAAAAAAAAAGGCTTCTTCCAAGGGTAAAGATCCAGACTATCCCCTGAATCTGTTAATTTCTATAATGTACATATATTCATTATAGAATATAATATATATAATACATATTATATAGAATATAATTATATAGAATATAATATATAATATATATTCATAATTTTTAAATGGCAATCTCATTGCCATTGATCTCAGAACTCATGCAACGATTTTCTGATATTTCCAAAGTATTTATACTATGATTTAACAGTCAAGGGTATGGCCATTTTGCAATGCATCCATATTAACACAACAAACACTACCCTCTGAAACAGCAAACTTCTCAAAAACATTTCTAAATCAAGCAAAATACGGCCATTTACCTTCAGACATGTCAGGAAGAGGGAGGGAGCCACTAGTCCCAGAAGTGAGTGTCCTGGCTAGGACAGAAGAAAGCTTCCTCATGGTGCTCAATCTACAGATACAGGAAAGGTATTTAGTGTCATGAAAATTACTGCCATGCAAATAAACTAGGATATATTTGTAATAGTACAGACTGTTTCATAAATCCTATTCTTCATTTTCAGACTGATTTTTAGAATCAGAACCAAACCAATGTTTGAAGTCAGCTGAAATTCAAACTGGTACCTGTCTCTATTCTAAAAAAGGAGGGAAGAATGTTTCACTGGAGTTAATTGTGCTCTTAGACAACTATTCAGATACCTTGGGACAACAGCTTAGACTGAACAGCAGCTTTTACTCCATCCTAGCACAGACGGGATTTGTGTGCACGTAGCAAGATATCCACGACTGTAAACACAAACAACCCCCCACACTTGTCTGCTGTATGTGGAGCTGAGAGACCAAGTGGGATATCACGAGGCTTTTGATTGAGCTAACCGTGATATTATTGTCCATGGTTATGCACTGCCCTAACTCAGAACTAGTCTAAAGTGCAGGACACAATCTGCTTAGTTGCTCAGCAAAAAGCAGTAACCATGAAACCTTCAGATACAGTAATCTGCCCAGCAATTCAGTAAACGCTAACCAGCTAGAGGCAAGTAAGGCTCCCTGCAGACAAAACTGTGGTGACATAAACAAAGCACAGGTGGTCTGCAAGAGTAACACCCCACACAGAAGCTCACAGTATTATCCTAAGAGACAATAT